CTAATTATTAATATATTAATAAAAAAAAATCCTCATTAAATAAAAAAAGAGAGTAGATGAATTATATTAAAAAATTATTAAAGTATAGAAATCAAACATGGATACTATAGGATCGATGCCATGTAGGTGTTATCCCACACAAAAATTCAAATATAAGGATTTAAAAGGAATAAATGTAAGTATTTTAAAATAAATAAAAAATTCAAGCTTAAGTTTCTAGAATAAGAGATTTTTTTTATTAAACAAATATCTTGATTTAAATTATTAATAATATTTTAAAATATAATTTATATTATTTTTTAATATATTATCTTATAGATTATCTTGTACTTAATTTTATTAATTAGAATTAATATAATGAGATTTAAACATATGATTATCTAATCATCAATATTTGTATTGTCAAATAATTATTTTAATCTAAAAATTTAAACTATTAAGTAAAAATTTAATAAATGATTTATATAATTTTTTAACATACCTCTTCAAGTAAAAATTTAATATATGATTTAAAAAATCTTTTAGACTTGAAGTTTATATATACTTATATCATTTTATGGTTGATTTTTATAAAATAGAATAAGAGTTGTAAGATTTGAACTAATGATTGCTTAATCAATAAAACTTTAATATCATGTTAAAGAATTATCTTAACTAGAAAGTGTTTGCATTATTAAATGAGGCTCCAAAATATAATTTATATAATTTTTTAATACCGATAATATATTAAAAAATTATCTCAATCCAAAATAAAAAATAAAATCTTAGGATACAAAGACAAGATTCGATATTTTTGAACCACAAAATGACAGGTTTCCATTTCAATTATAAGTATATTCAATCTCATTATAGATATTATGATCTCATATGAGCTATGTTCTATGAAACTTTAAATTTTTTAAAAAATTTAATTTTTATGTATTTTTTAACATGTTAATATCAAAAATAATTTTTAAATAATAATAAAAATATTATTTTAATATATTTTTAAATGAAAAATAAAAAAACAACCCGCATCATCAAACTACTCTACAACCTTTCTCTAGTTCATTTTCTGTGTTAGAAATGGCTCATCTATGAATGAATCCAGCTCCTAATGGCTTTGTTTTTGAGTCAATGTTCTTAATACATTTTAGCAAAGGGCTTGCTTGATACATAAGTTTTTCTTGAATCATTGTAATGTGTTCTTCATGTCTATATCCTTCGAATGTTGTAGGTTCAAAGCATAATGTCCTTTTCTTTGCTGTTGTAAGCAATAACTCAAACAGTTCGCTCTCATATGTAAGCCCAGCGGCAGCCTTACCGGTTTGGTTGGTTCAGGTTGGATAATGGGTCTATTTCTACACAATATTTATTTTTTATTTTAGGAAGAATTCCAAAGAATATCTTCATTTGTCCACTTATAATTTCTATACAATATCATCCCTCCATGTTTTTTATATACTTATTTTGAGTCTATCTTTTTTATTGAATAAAAAAATAAATTGTTTAAATCAAAATTTAAATTTTAATAAAAATCCTACTTTTCATGGTCGGAAAATGTCTTATTTATCTTATTTTTATTTCTAAAAATTATAGTCGTACGATGTTGCAAAATAATTTTTCATAAACCAACATAGATAAACTATCTACAAACCAATTGAAAGTGCATTAGTTTTCGTTTAAGATCGTCTAAGGATATGTTAATAATAAGAAAAAAGGTAATGCATAGTATTAAAAATAATTGTTTATGAAAGTTACATCTAGTTCTAGATCGAGTTAATTAAAACAAAATTATTTCAATTTATTTTGTAGAAAAATTAAAAAATAATGTTTTGATTTTTTTTAAAGTTATATTGAATTTTGAATTGATAATGAAGTTAATTAGATACATTATATTAATTTTTTTAAAAATCTAACCCGAGTTCAATATTAATTCTACTTGTTGGCTCAGCCGAGCTTATTGTTAATAACTATATTGGAGGCTGCAATGCAGCTTCTGAAATAAAATTCATAAAGCTGGAGTCATATTTTCTGGTGAGTTTGTAATAATAATAGTGATGTAAAGTATTTTTTATTTAAAAATATATTAAAATATTTTTTTATGTTAGTACATTAAAATAATTTTAAAATATAAAAAATATTTTATTTTAAATAAAAAATAATTTTATTTCAAGAAAACATAATTTTCATCGCCCAAACACACCCTCAAAATATGAAATATTCGTAATCTACCCTCAAACACTCAATGATTTCTGAAGATATACCCAACAAAAAACTCAAAATCAAAGTCTTGAGGCCCTTAACCCACGACATTAATCATGCAAAATTATAGGAAAAGGGCCCATCTTTTTATTTGTTACTATCACTATAAATTAACTATGATCAGAAGCCTCTCTACACATTCATTCCTCTCTTCAACAATTATTTTTCCTCTTGGAAGAACCACCCCGCTACCTTCAAAAGGTAAAGAGTTGTACTCTTTCTTGTGTTTTATTGTCCAAAGTTGTGTAAATGTTTCATTTCTTGAATTTTAATTACTGGGTTTTGCTTGGTTTTGATTTTTGATTGTTGTAGTGTGTAAAGTTTGTTCCTTTTTACATTTGGGCAACTGGGTTAAAGCTAGAACTCCTGTTAGTACAAGGACAGTGTCAGCTTTGATGAGTTCAAAATCTGGAATTGAGCAAGTGCTGGTTGAGAATGAAGTGCAACAGGTTAGGTTGCTTGATTCAGTCAATGATGACCATGGAGGTGTCATTGTGGAATTGAGTGAGTCTATGGATTCAAAGGTGTTTGCTTCAATGCTTAAAGCTTCACTTGCTTTATGGAGAAGCCAGGTATGCTTGAGTTTAATCAATTCTGGAGCGTTTTGTGAAAGCTAGGTTCTTGTTGATAAATATTTTATCATCGATGTGTTGTTATCGATTCTGAATATGGAGTTCTTTTTTGGGGCTTGTCTTCTCCGTTCTGGCTTGTTATTACTAATTTTACTGCAAGTGTTTGGGAGATTTGGGATCGCTAAATGAATCCCCAAGTTTGCTTCTTTTTTTTGACATAGTTTCTATTTATTATTCATCTGACAAGAGTCATCAAGTGTTTGTTGTGAAATTAAGTTTATTTTTGTAAAACTGGATTAAGTTCAATTCAAATTTTGGTCTATCATAAGCTCTTAGAAACTTCAATAATTGACTGCATAAACAATTGAAGCCTTTTTTTTGGTGTATATCAGATGTCTTTCTGTCACTGCTTTTTTGTTTTGATGTTTAATGCATTCAAATATGGTGTACAGGGTAAAAGGGGTGTATGGATCAAGGTACCTATTGAACTGGTCAATCTTGTTGAAGCTGCTGTCAAGGTAACCTGTCTGTTTGTATAAATTGCAGTAATGAGCCCATGATGCTCTAAAGGTGCTCGTCCTGGTTTAAACAACAGGTATTGCTAGTGTTCGGTGTTGCCAATTAACCTCCAATTTGTGATTTACAATGCAGGAAGGGTTCTGGTTCCACCATGCAGAGCCAAAATACTTGATGCTTGCATTCTGGATCCCAGAAGGTGTTCATACTCTTCCAGCAAATGCCTCTCACCGAGTGGGTATCGGTGCATTTGTCATGAACAAAAAGAGAGAGGTATTTCTCCATATCTATTTTTCTGGATAAAAGCTGATGCAATAGAGTTAAGGGGTTTGCATTGGATGTGATCGAAGTCTTGTTTGCTGCATGCTAAAGCCTAAAACTCTACATACAGGTGCCCTTAACTAATAGCTATAGGCTATCGCTACTGGTGCTGCTCTGTTGGAAACTAGTATTATAAGGAATCATGTTCCTTCATCAGAAATATGCATGGGGGACTGGGAAACACCACCATGTTAATATGATAGATTTCATTTCCTGCATTTGCATCCTCTTTTTATCTTTTCAGACCCTTTGCTTTGTTTAGCTCTTAAAATATAGGTTCTGATGCCAGGATAGTTGTGAAATGATTATTTGCTTGCTCATTTGAAAAGAATATAGAATAGTTGATACTGTGTTTGGAGGGAGGGTCTCTCTGAATGTTGCTTTCTCGAAACATAATTGCATATTCCATTCCCAGGTGCTTGTGGTCCAAGAGAAAAGTGGCATATTTCGGGGGACAGGTGTGTGGAAGTTCCCTACTGGAGTTGTGGACGAGGTAATGGTTTTAATTTTTCCATCATAGATATGACATTGTTGTGTGTGCTGGCCACTATAGAAAGACCACTGAAGAACTTTCTGTTCTCCAGGGAGAAGACATATATGCAGCTGCAATGAGAGAAGTCAAAGAAGAGACAGGAGTAAGTCATTGTTGTCCAAATTGTATGCTCAAGTGAAATGAGTTGCACATTTATTGCTAATATGGGTGAAGCATCATTTCCCCTAATATAATCTGACTACGTTCCTTGTTTCTTTTTGTCTTGACAGATTGATACAGAATTTGTGGAAGTCCTAGCATTCAGGTATGCAGTGTACTAGAATATTAGTTACCATCAATGCATCCTTGTATTTTGCTACTACATGTCCGTGCTAAAATCTTTGAACTCGGTTAGCTTCTTCCTGATTATGAATTGTGGTGGCTATTTAACTTGAGAAAGGAAACAATGTTTTTCATGTGGCATAACAAACTCCTTTTAAAAGAGTATTTTGGCCTGGACATATCTCCAAAAGCAGCATTAGATCGGACAATAAATAACATTTTTCTCTTTGCTTCCAAAGTTTGTTGTTTGGAATTGGACCTGGTCTCTTTCTGAAATTTACTTCTTTTCTCTTCATCTAACTTACAGGCAAAGCCACAAGTCATTCTTTGATAAGTCAGATTTATTCTTTGTATGCATGTTGCGACCCCTCTCCTTTGACATTGAGAAGCAGGAATCAGAAATAGAGGATGCCCAGGTAATTTTTGACAGAAATTTTCCAATACAAACGTACGTGTCACCTCTGAAGTTAACTGCAAATTCAATTCCGCTTTCATGCCTTCTGGCCAAACTATGCAAATGTTTATAGCTGAATGCATTCCAAATTGATAGATATTATGCAGTTAAATGTTTGAACAACCTCAATATCAGCTGCTTTAGCTAGAAACTCTCGCATTAATTCTTGTGATTGCAGTGGATGCCATGGGATGAATATGTAGCACAGCCATTCGTCCAAAAGCATGAACTTATGAAGCACTTAGTTGGCATATGCAAAGCAAAAGAAGATGAGGCGTATTTCGGGTTTTCTCCAGTCCCCATTACATCAAGATTTTCAGACCAAAAAAGTTATCTGTACGTGAATGATCGAGACCTGAAAGGCAGTAAGGTCAGAATGTCTCAAACAGCATGACCTGAACGCCTCTCACAACCCTCGGGATCATACCAAGGAAAAGATTCAATTTCTGTAATTTCGTTTCATTTATTTTTAGGACAAACAATAAATGTTGTAATTGTCCCTCATTCTTTGAAAAAGGGAAAATAATCTAATTGTATTAATTACCTCAGTATTTGATCCATTAGGTGTACGATGCTGCTCTACGAGCTGCAATCAATTAATAAAATCCCTGTTTCATTCATCATTGTTTGAATAATCCTTCTTTCTGGAATTTGAACGATGAGAAGCAGCTAAATTTTCCTGCCGTATGCCATGTTAGATGTGCTAGTAACAAGATGCTGCAGGGGCATGGGCTGAGCTTGTCTACTGTCTTGTTTATTTTTTATATTACCGTATCAAAATAATTTATATGATTTATAAGTATAAAAATAAATATAAAAATAATAATTTGTATGGAAAAAAATATTTAATTTTTTTCAAAAATATTTTTACACCACAAAAAACACAAAAACAAATGATAGCTGTTTTTAGTTAATGTTAAATAAATAAAAAAATACAGAATGAACTAAAACATATTTAATTGAACAAATATAGAACACTGAGTGAACAAAAATATATTAAATTGAAGAGACAAATATAGAGATGCATCTTATCTTAGATAATTTTGAAATAAATTTTTATCATTTCAATACATTATAAAGAAATGTTATTTTTATCTCTATAATTTGCGTTTTATATTTCTATTCCATCTCAACAGCAACAAAAAAATGTGTTTTTTATTTATATTATGAGTATATAGTACATTTTATGAATGTAGTGATTGGATTAATTTCATACCTCATGAAGTGTATGCTCTATCATCTCTATACCTTATATTAAACATATATATTGAGCCACATCCCCACCCAACCTCATTTCACAAAATAATTAAATAGCCTACCACTAATATATAATTATTAAAGAAAAAGAAAGAGAATTACAAACATCATGGCATGCATCATCAACCATTATAATTACTAGTACTGCAGATATAATTATAAAGCAAGAAGAAATTAAGAAAGAAATAGGAAGAAAAGGTACTTAAAAACAACACTTAACCCCAGCAAAATATTAGTTACTATTACTTTGGCCTACCAGAAGCAGAACCATACATGTTGCCTTGATGAAGGGGATGGTGTCCCTGTCCCATCATCATCATTCTTGACTGCATCCCACCATACACATTGCCCCCATTTCCACCGAACCCACCCCCAGAATCTCCACTATTTACGACACTACCATCCCTTTGATCACCTTGCCTAACTGTTCCCATGGCAGCAGTCCTCTCACCTTCCGTCTCCCTAAACTTTTGCAGATAAATCTTCAATGGCTCAGCATAATCTTCAAAGCCCAATGTTGTCATGGCCCACAAAAGATCATCACCATTGACTGTCTTCCTCTTCTCTCTTTGACACTTATCTGATGCCTCTCCGGTGATGAAGCTAATGAACTCGGACACACACTCTTGCACGGTCTCCTTCCCATCCTTCGAGATCTTTGCATTAGCTGGTAAAGCTTTCTTCATGATCCTGCTAACATTGGCTATAGGCAAGAGCTTGTCCTGCTCTCTTGATGATGTCTCACTGTAGTTTGTATTGTTGTTGTTTTGCCCTCCAGATTCATTGTCTGAATCAGCCATGAAACCTAAAGACTCCTGGGCTTGACTTTCTTTAATATATATATATATATATATATATATATATATATTGTTTGTTTGTTTTGGACCGTACATTTATTGATAAGTTTCTTACAGGTGGATGTTTGATTGGCCTGTGTATCAATCTGAGATGAAGGATATAATATTGAAACAGTTGACTTCTTGTTTATATAGTCGTTGCCCAGTCCACACGTGTACAGGCAGTCTTGTGGTTTGATGATGGGGTTAAGCAAATTCAATTTAATTGGGCAAATGTAACATAATTAAGAAGAAAGACACAACATACAGTTTTATTAATTCGATAATCGACAACTCAACTCAACTTAGTTTTAGTTTTATTAGATTGATATAGCTATTGTTACATCATTTTTATTATCATTATTAATTATGCTAGGTTTTTATCATCATTATTAAACTCAATTTAGTTTACTTATTATTATCTTATATCAAATTATAAAAAAATCAATCTAGAAATGATTTTGTTAATTGATGTTAAAAAATATCTCAATAATTTAAATTATTAGACGAGGTTTTAATATATTTTTAATATTTTTTAAAATGATAATTTTTTGGTATTAAAACTTATACAAACTTATACCTTATATTTAATTTTTATTAAATAAATTAGAATAATAAAATTTAAATTCATGATTATTTAGTTATCAAATTTTTCATATTATATCAAATAACTAATATATATCTCAATCTAATAACTTAAATTATCTATTAGATAAGGTTTAATATATAATTTATATTATTTTTAATTAATTAACTTTTATTTTTTTTAAATAATATTATCTTATTTGTAATTTTTTTTTAGTAATTCAGGTTAATATATGTGATTCTGCTTTACACTAGATCTGGATTGAAGTTAATAGCTATATTTTTTGTTGTGATTTAATAAAGTAAAATTACTACATGGACAGTGATTAATTTTACCCGAAATTAGGGTGGGTGAAACACTTCTCCATTCGTCAACAATACTTGTTTCAAATTCTCACTCCAAAGGGGCTTAATATCATCACGCAAGCAACTTGCTTTCATTCAAAATGATCAAGAATTGACCCAGCATTACTGACTCGATCGGTTTCTCCAGACACCAGGCACTAAAATGGGGCTTAATTATATCATCACGCAACTTGATTCATTCATGCACCTTGAAGACTTCTTGCTCAAGCCCATATCCTGATCATGCACACTCTCATTCACTATATATATATATATAAGGATTCTCTATTTGTAATAAAAGGAAAAAGGGTACTAAACAAATTAATTCCCCACAACAATATTATATTCTAGAACTCAATTGTCTTTAAATTAGGCTTGCAAGAATAGGGGAAGACATACTCTCAAACAACAACTGTTTAGTTAAGTTTGCAGTCAACTGAAATATTTCCCTCTTCACATAAAATTTGCTGCTTCCCTGTGGTTCTTTATGCATGCAAAAGGAGCATAAAAAGAGAACAGCTATTAGCTTCTAAGGAAGAACTTAAAAGGCGTGCACACCTTCTTATTTACTTGCAGGAAAATTGTATTTTTAGTAGAGAAAATTTGGATCCAAATGCAGAAAATCCTGCAATAGAACGCAACCAAAGTAAGAATATGTTCTCGCCATTTTTTTCAAGTACTAGATCCATTCTCTCTAGCAAATTAATGTGGTAGCTTGACGTAAGAATTAATCCCTCTTTAATGTATAAACGTCAAACAATTTGACTATATTACCCCATGCAAAGTTGCAGTAAAACAATATGTCTTACCAAATATATGATCACAAAAGTCAAACCTATAATCCCTTGAAGGTTTTAGTGTTTGGCACCAAGATCGTCATCCTTCGATTTGCAATTAAAAATTATCTTATTTTTATTTTTATTTTTTCTCTCCTCCTCTATGTCTATCTCTCCTATATTAAGTATCACATAAAATCTCTTGCTATGAAGTTGGTTTTAATGATGATTTAACAATAGATATATTTCTTTAAATACTCGAAAACGTTTCCAAAACACAACCTGGGAAAAGGAATCCTAACATTAATTATCCTTGTGTGTGTTAATCTGTTGCTAAATATGCAAAAATGACAGCTCCTGTTTGTTTCTTTTCTTCTTTTTTTCAGCTCAAATCATGGGTAGCATTATCTTATCATCTCAGACACCAAGGCATACATCATTCAGGCCTATAAATAAGTTCAGCATTTGCAATCCAAAACAATTAATCAGAACACAAAAGAAATTACTTGGGAAAACATGATTTCTTTCAGTATTACACAATTCATGCTAGTAATATTATTATCATTTTTATATTGTTCACAATCTTGAGTGATGCTCCGGTATCCTCAACAACATGGATAGTAACTCTACCGTTCATTGCAAATCGAAGGATGATGATATTGCTCCCACCAATCGTGTTTTTCTGGAGGTCATAAAGAAATTACTATCATCAACGACATTAACAGTACTGTGTCGATCGTTCATTGCAAATCCAAGGGTGATGATCTTGGTGTCATAAAACTCCTAACTTCACAGTATTTTCAGTTCGAGTCTTGCAATCAATTTTTTGGTATGCATTGCAACTTTGCATGGGATAACACAGTCAAGTGTTTTAATATTTATACATCTAAGAGGGATGATCTTATTTGTAATGATTGTATATAACTCCATCCGGCCCATGTAGAGAAACCTGCAGGTGCACCGAGCACTAGAAATTGTAAGAAATGGAATAATTAATGAACTGGTGATTATGTATCTTCAATAAAATATAGCTTGATTGCTGAGTGATTTGAATTTATTTCCAAGTGTTTTGCATTTTTTTTAATATATGTGCATTTCATGATTTTAAAGGGATGTAATGCTTTTTCATTGCATCAATAATTTTCGAGGAGGAAAGGGAGATGGATAGTGTAGATAGGAATAGTTGGGGCAGGCTTGAAAATGGAGACGGAAGGAGAGAATTACTTGTGTTTTTCTGCCAAGGTCACAACACTTGTGAAACGTGTCTATGGCTCTATATACATGCTTAAAGATTTGGTAAACGGGTTTTTTTTTTCTGGGATTAATTATTAATTAAACTTTAACTTGTAAAAAAGAATACGTTATGACAAGAGTAGGCAACCAACCTCCATTAACGTCCCTTCCACCTTCTAACTTCTGCCATTGTACACTTGGTGAAACCATGGAGGACAAGACCAACATGCCCTTCCATTTCATTTCAACCTCAAGCTTTTTCGTTCTCATTTTCTTTGGGTGTCAAGAGTTAACTTTCACCTTCTTTAATTAGTTAAGCAACAAAGTTTACCAAAACAAAATAAATGATAAAAGGATGAATCTATTTAGAGTGAAATTATTGTATTGAAAATGTGAACAAAAAACTATAGTAGAGCTCACAGATATAAAATTTAATTTTAATATATGACGGTTGGATTTCAATGAATATAAAACAAATTATGATGATCAAGCATGTTTTTATATTGAATTATGATAATAATAAATGTAAATTCTTCTCCTCTTCATGCGCTATTTTGATGGATTTGTCTTTATTAAATTATGAAATCTATATCTTATTGTTACTTAAATCTAAATTCTAAAATAGAGAAAAATTATTTTTATACAAGGTGGTATATGATAATTTGATTCTTAGGTATTGAGTAGAGAAATTTGTTGACCGTCCAAGTCAACCAAAGAAGGGCAAAATTGTAGTAAGAATGCAATCCAAGGGCAAATGAACCCAAGAGCACCTTATAAAACCACCCTCTCTCCCTTTGTTGTCTCTTCGTGCCATCTTTACCTTGATAAAACAAGTAGGAAAATTTTGCTACAAACACAAAGAAGATGAGCTACTTTAGCGGCTGCAACAATCTTGTGACGATGATGAATTTCATAATTTCCACCATCTTCATCATCTTCACCATCACCCTTCAAGCATCTACAGCTAAAGCAGAGAACCCATTACACGAATTTTCAAGTAGAGAAGAGTTGGTGCAATGGGCTGGCTATGGAGAGGAAAAGCTATCGACTGTGCTAGTCACAGGCACGGTTCTCTGCGAGGCTTGTTTGCATGGTGAAAATCAACTTCATGCATGGCCAATATCAGGTTTTTCCATGTTTCTCGATTTCCTTTCTGGCCTACTTTAATTTCTGGATTGCATGCATGCCCACTTATTATAAACATTTCTTTCAACAAATTTGAACAAAAATCATTCCAAAAACAAACTGGTCATGAACATATTGATGTGATCATCAAGTTTTGTCTAGAGATATGATGAGATTTCTCCAGCTCTTTACCTCTTGTTATCTCTACAATTCTTGGTCTTTTCTTTCCTTGTAATCACTTGAGTGTGTGTAGTATATTATCTAGGCTTATATATTATAACCTTAAATATTAGCTATATTTGCACAAGGTTTTGGTACTGTTTTAGGGTTCCTTGTTAATCTTGCATTTAGTATTTGAGCAATGACCTATAATTGTTTGAGATTTTGGTCACTAGCTTTCAGCCTTTCATGGTAGAAATAACATAGTTTTCAGCCAAACTTGTTATCAAAGAAAAGAGAACTACGTACTAGAATTAGGGATTATGTCATGGTTTATATAGGTGAAGAGTCGCATTGGCCATGTTAAGGCAGCTGCAAAATGAAGCAAAATACAAAGACATTGCTATCAAATCACAGCTTCTTTTTTTGACGTTTATTTTCACTTCCTGTAAGCCTAAAAAGCAAGGGTGATGCTACTAATTTAACATGTTAATTTTCTAGCCTATTTCATCGATCTCTAGCCCATAGAAAAAATTGAATGCTCAAAGAGCAGGTAGTTCCTCTTTAGGCGCGCACTTCCAAATCTTTACGTTTCGTGTAAGAGATTGTTGGTCTTTGAAGCATTCACTTTGGAATTTAATTTGACCTTTATACGTACAAATCTAAGCAAACGGTTATATATGTGTCTTCTTCTTGGCCCAGCAAATTAAATGAATGCCTGGAAACAAAGCTAAGATCCACCAACCTTGAATACGATGACCCAAACCCAAGTGATTGGGATGGGATTTGATGATCATTTTAATTCAATATTGATGAGGAAGATAGTATTAAGAGAGAGATGGGGAAGCCCACGAAAACAGCAACATCTCCCCATAAATTTGTGTTAGAAAAATGCATTTCAGAATTCATTTTGACACTTAAGCAATAAAGGTTGTGTTTAATAGTCTCATTGGATAGAAAGGATAGATATAAAAGACATAAAATAAATATGTTTTTTAAATAATTTTAAAAATATAAATTATAGAGGCACGTAGTTTCTCTTCTCCAAAATCTTCTTTTGTCCTTGGACAAATGACACCTAATAAATTCCACTCAAATGAAATGCTTCGCCTAAATAATTCAACTTTTCTTGATTTTAACCTGACTGGGAACAGGTTTGGTGTTTGATGTACACAAAACTTGAAAGCAATAGCATGCGTTGTTAAAAATTATATATGTTGAAATTCGTACAGGTGCTTTGGTGAACGTCGAATGCCACACCGGTACGAAGCGGAGCAAGAAAAGTTCTGCTCAAGCTATCACAGATGAATATGGAGATTTCCTAATTGATCTACCTTCCCACCTCCATGGAATTCCCCACTTGGAAAGAATATGTTCAGTTCAGGCTCTGAGATTACCACAGAACTCGGTATGCACACCAGCTCATGCCAGGAAACAGAAGGCACTGGAATTATCATCAGTCGGGAATGGCATCCGTAATTACAGTGCCGGGGAGATAAAATTCCTTCAAGTAACATCTAAGCCTTTACAAGCATGCAACGAAAGAGGAAGCAGCGATAAGTAGATTGCATGGTAGGTAGCCAGTTTATAAGAAGATTGGGATACAAGAACAAGACCTCACTTAGATGGCGCTACAGTCACAGCATTGAGTATCATGGTTCAATACCTTTCTTTCTACCAGTTGTAAAATACACATGAGTGGCAACTACATGTAAATAGCATGTAGATAAATAATGATATCTTGTAATGTAAAAAAGCTTGGAGTGATTATAATCATATAAACAAAATTGTCCATTAGAAATTTTCCCTTGATGCCATGGAAAAGTACAGTATCACTAAGAGAAACAAGGCTCCAGTTTTTACAGGTTTGGCAACCTTTATATGTGGTTATTGATACACAAAAACAAACATAGGAAGAGACACATCGTCTTGGAGCACCGTTTCACCTTTAGGAAACCCTAAAATTGATTACTACTCAGGATTTACATTTTTCAGCTCACCTCCTGAAACTATATACTTCGCAACATCAGCGCAACATGTAAGTCTATCCGCTTTCTCTTCAGGAATTTCAATGGAAAATTCTTCCTCAAAAGCCATGACAAGCTCGACCCTGTCTAAACTGTCCAGGCACAAATCTTTTTGGAAATCAGCTGTCTCAGTAACCTGTTCAGAGGTCAAATGAAATCTACATTACTTTTTTGACCTATGTCCTTAGCGACGGACAGAGTGATTGCTGGTTGAAATTAAGAAGAAAATCTCTTTTTTTGACATAAAGTATCACCTAACCATCAGGTTAATATCAGTATGTAAATTTAATCAAATGGAGAGTAAAGGTAAGACTTCCACTTCAAACAATCATAAAATGGACAAGAAACATAAAAAAGAAAGAAAATTTCAAGGAAGCCGTCAATTAGTTACCTTAGTGGCATCAATTTTATCAAACTTCTTAACCAGTCCAATGACTCGATCCATGATTTTATCAGGGCTGGTGCCTGCTGATGTACACATCTTCCGGTGAAGCTGCTTGAACACATTTCCCCTCTGAGCAAATAAAAATTGTTCAGCAGAACCCCTCAGCCTTATGTGGCTCAAGATGGAATTTCTTATGCTTTGCATTTCGACACAAGCTGAAAATCAACATAAGTCTTCCGAATCAGAATGTGCAAATCAAATCACATAAAATCAATGCCAACTGCCAAGACAGCATATATGCATGCGAATGACAGCTGAACAACAACCAAATTTCAAAAACACACTTGTATAATCAATAGGGAACATTCTTTCAACAAACCAGAACTGCACGTAGCATCCTGGCTAGAAGGAGCTAAATTTTAATCAACTATATGCAAACCTGAAACATGTCTAGTGTGAAAAGAAGGCACTAAGGCCAGGATTTACAAATAAATACATGCATCCCCAATTTAAAAGAAACCCCATAAAGTTTTTTGAGCTTTCAATGATTGTTCGTCATAATTCAGTAATTTACACTACAGCAAGAGCAAAATCATGTAGCTCTAAAACACACAAGTCTTACAAAAGGGAAACCTTCGCATTGCAGCCAAAAACTGAACAGAACAAAGGCCCAAGAGAGCAAAATCTGTCAAAATCGTTCAAAGCTTACAACTTTCAGAAAAAGACATTATTCATAGGTAAATGCATGATATCACGTTCAAAATTGAGCATGAAACCACAGTAGAAAGTTACACAAGAACAAATCTCATGCAAACATAATTCCTATATGTATTGATTCACACACTTTCTGGGTTTTTTCTTTTTTTCAAATCTATGTTTAAAAAAACACTTAACGTCAAAGCAACAAATTCTGACAAAATAATCTATCAGGTACCCAGATTCAAGTAAAAGACATGGCTCATGAAATTAAAAAAGACAGACAATTTAACGAGTAAGAAGAACATAGTAACTACCAGTAATTTTAAAAAGAAGAAACAAAGCAGGAACTGCTTACTCACGAGATTTTGCGCCCGCGGATACTGGCTTTTGAGTTAAAATAATAGTTGTTCAGGTGTTTGATTTATCGCCGCAATGAAGCCCCCCCTGTTGAATGGAAGCAAGAGCCTTGTCAATAAGTATCGCTTCATGGGCGGTGCTCAAATGAACGCAGAGAATATTAAATCTGTTTTTTAAAATATTTTTTTATTTTAAAATATATTAAAATAATGTTTTTTATTTTTTAAAATTAACGTATAAAAAAGATTTAAAATATAAAAAAATTAATAAAAAAATTTGAATTTTAAAAAAACATGAATTGATTCATATTCTCAAATACTCTATAATTTTTATGTAAGATTGTGTTAACAGTTGATTTATTGTTTAAAATTTTTTTTATTTTTTTTAAAAAAAATTTATATTAACACATTAAAATAATTTAAAAATATAAAATATTAATTTTAACACAAAAAAATTGAAAATGTTTAGAACCGAAGCAGCCACTAATCTTTTTAAAACTGAGTTAAGGTCAAGAACAATTCAAATAAAACTTAGCTTTCACTGTAACTTAGATAGTTATAATTTTTGTTTTAGTAAAATAGTAAATGGTATTTTTAAAAAAATATATTAAAATAATTTTTTATTTTTTATTTTTAATATTAGTATATCAAAATTATAAAAAGACAAACATTAATTTAATATTTTCTAAAAACAAACATATATTTAAAAGTCACCTAAATAAGGGTCAATCTACGACGTCATTGCATTAGTAAATTTATTTTTTGTGCCTTTTGATTTTCTCGTCAGATTAAATTCGTCTTTCAGTCCTATCAAAACATTAAAATTAAATTAAAAAAAAATATTAAAATTAATCAATTACCTCTAATCTAAATAGTGTGGATTTTAACTGTCTACTTTTTACTATTTATCTTATTATATTTTATTCTAGTTAAATTATGCAAAATTTTATAAGTTTTTTTTAAAAAAACACTTTGGTCTCTGACTTAAAATCAGGAAAATTATATAATTTTTATCCCTTGATATTTTTCTAATTTTATTTTAATACAAAAATTTATTTTTTTTATTTTTTATTCTTGATTGAGAGAGGAGAGAGAGATAACCTGATTCAGGTAGTAGAAAAAGAAATATATCATTGATACCGATTTATGCCACCGAAATAAACAATAATTATGTCAAATTGTTTTATTTGACGAGAGGAGTTTATATTAGGTGTTTTTATATCTTAAAAGTTCATGAAAAAAAACATATCTTAACATGTGATGGTTTTTGGTTTCAAGTTAAATTCGATTTTTTGAGGCTATTGATAGATTTATTATGGTCTCTAAGATGTTTTACAAGTGTTTTGATTAAAAACAGGTTGAAAAACAATTTTTTGGATCAAAAAAACATAAACCATGATTTTCTCGGAACCAAAATGATCAAAATCTTGAGAAAACAGATAATGCATCATCTGTTTTATTTTAAAAAAATAATTGGGATGAGTGATATGTCTTTCATCCTAAGTGCAATTTTTTTTACAAAAAACTTAATCACGAGGCTCTAATGATACGAGCCAAGAGGGCTAGTCTAACTTGCTAGACCTAACTGCGTTTGACCTTTTTTTTACAATTCAATTTTTATTTTAATTGATTTTTTTAAGAAAAACTTAATTATATTTATATTAATACAGCTTCTTTATTTTATTTTGTATAGAGAGCTTTTTTTAAAACAATGATGATTTTTATTATTATGCATTTAATTTTTAAAGAATTTTTTTATTCATCTATGATTTTTTGTTTATCTTTTGTATAAATGAACTATATTTTTGAAAATAAATAATCAGCTTCAATCCTAGATGATTTTTTGTTTATCTTTTATATAGATGAGCTATATTTTTTATTTATCTATGATTCATTCAACCAATTTAATATCTTTGTTTATTTCTATTATTGTATAATTAAATAAAAAATATTTTAATAAAAAAATAGAAAACGTGATTGAATAAATGTTCTATATTGCAAAATTAAATATCTTAATTTATATACATCTCTCGATTTTTCAAGTTTTAATTTTAAGTATCGTTAATGATTTTTTATTTATTTATTTATTATTGGATATAGTTCATAGTTTATTTAATTATATGTATGTATAAACTTTTTAATTTGCACATAAAGTTTTTGAACTATAAAAATATATTGAAAAAACCTACATATATAAAAATTTTAATAAAAATAAAAATATTTGATTCGTGACAGAAAACAAATCATATAAATAGTATTTTATTATAGGTTTTAGAAAATTCTCTGTTTATTAACACAATGAATTGTTAATTGTCTTTTTATTTTTTATTTTTATATTCAAAACAATTGCAGAACTTATATGATAAAATTGTTTTTTCTATATGATCCAATAATCATATGTAAATTAATTAGGAAGAACTTAGTTAGTTTACTTTTTTTATAGTAAAATTAGATTATTATCCTTGTGAAAAAAAAAAGCCTTTAAGTCCAAGTGTATTTTTATCATTTTATTTTCTTTGTTTAAGTCCAAGGGTATTTTTATCATTTTATTTTCTTTGTATCATAAAATGACATAAATACCCTTAAAAGTTGCAAAATACTAAACTTGCATCAAAGGGGTTTTTTAGTCTTTTTATATTTATATACAATGAAATGATAAGTTTAACCTTGATTTCCAAAATCATTGGTTTGCAAGGTGTTTTTATCTTTTTCATAAGTTTTTTTTTGGTAGTATTCAAATGCATTTAAGGGTTGTTTAGTAATTTAATATTTTAAGATATTATTAAATAAATAAAAGATACAATGCGTGACCGTCATCCATGCCATTCTAGAAGCGAGTGGAGAAGCATCCCATGGCAAAAAAAAAAATCTAGTTAATTATTGTGTCATCCAACATGTCTGGTGGTGGCATAGTGGGATGACACATGCGGTCTGATTTATAACGGTTTAACGATGATGAATTTATTTTTTTCTCCCATTATATTCTCTCTCTTAGACCTTGGTATTCACGCCTAGCCTTAAAAAATTCAATTATATCGTCTAGTTTGTATTTCTTTCAAATTCACTACTCGTTCTTTTGATTTTTATTAGTTTTGATTTTAATGATTTTTGAAGTTTATTGTTTTATATAACTTTCACCCTCAACAATTTATTTCATTTAATTTTTATATCCAATTTGTTCATCATTTTTTTTATTGTTTTTTTTTATCTTTGCTATTTTTTTAATTTTATCCTTCAATATTTTATTTCATTTAATTTTGTATCCAATTTTGGTCCTTAATTTTTTTATCATTATTTTATTTTGTTTTTCTATTTAACCCTTATTTATTTTCTATCACTTATTTTATGTACAAGATTTGATCCTCATTGTTTTAATTTTTATTTGTTTTAATTTTTTATGATTGGGAATCTTGCTTCATTATTTTTTCATGTTCACCTTCTATGATATAATCTTAATCTCATAAACTAGATCTCTGATTTCTAAGATTAGCCCACTTTTTGTTTGATTTTTTTAATTATTTTTTTAAAAAAATATTTGTTGTATCATTCGAGATTTAGTTATTGGACCTTAAGTTTTGTGAGATGTTCTACTTTTCTTTTCTTTTCTTGGAGTTATATTTATCTTATATCTCATTTCACAAGTTAATTGAGTTAATTAAGATTGACTTATGTTTTTTAAAATTATTTTTTAAATTTTATCTTTTGACATTAAATTATTGGTCATTGAGCTTTGTGAATTTTTTTTAAAAAAAATTATATGGGGTTATCTCGGGTGCAATTTAATCAAGTTAATATATGTTGGCTCAATTTTTTTTTATCATTTTTATTGATTTAACTTTGGTTTATTTTTTCCAAGTTTTGTTTTAAATCTATTTTTTTTATTATAATCTCATATCACATTTGGGTGAATCTCCTCACATGACATTATGAAAAAAACTGTTCACTGTGTTTTTTTTTTTTAATTTGGGCCTTATCATACTAAATTATAAGTCAATTTATTAGGGATAGTGAGATTGAAAGACAGTAGACCAATGTAAAATTTGTTTTGAAGGAAATGGGTGGCTTTAAAAAGTTTGGATGAGATGTTTATTATAGCTCATATATTTTTCAAATGGTAGATGTTAAGTCCCTTTTTATTTGAAATTAAAGGAAAAATCATTTTTTACTTCAAACTTTATTTTCTTTATTTTTTTGGCCCTTTGAAAAAGATGTGAGAGAATTTTATTATAATCCAGTGCTAAAAAGAAAAAATTTCTATTGACACAGATTTTGGTCATCAAAACAATTAAAATTAGGCTTAAATTGTTTCTTCTAATGAGGAAAATTCACATCAAGGGCTTTTTTTATACCTTGAAATTTCCTAGAAAACATATTTGATCTCATTAAGATTTTTAATTTTAGGTTTGTGGGCAAGTTTTTTTTTTTTCAGATCTAAAATGAGTTTATCAAATTGTCTAAAATATTTTCTAGGTATTTTGGGTAAAAAATTAGTTGAAATTTGATTTTTAGATAAAAAAAACTTATGGCTTGTTTTTCCGATCATTATGATAGTTGAAAATTAGGTATTATAGACGACACATCATCTAATTTAGTTTTTCTCAAAAACATTATTTTATTTTTTTATGATTGGGAATCTTGCTTCATTATTTTTTCATGTTTACCTTCTATGATATAATCTTAGTCTCATAAACTAGATCTCTGATTTCAAAGATTAGCCCACTTTTTGTTTGTTTTTTTTAATTATTTTTTTTTTAAAATATTTGTTGTATCATTCGACATTTAGTTATTGGACCTTAAGTTTTGTGATATGTTCTATTTTTCTTTTCTTTTCTTGGAGTTATCTTTATCTTATATCTCATTTCGCAAGTTAATTGAGTTAATCAAGATTGACTTATGTTTTTTAAAATTATTTTTTAAATTTTATCTTTTGACATTAAATTATTGGCCATTGAGCTTTGTGAATTTTAAAAAAAAAATTATATGGGGTTATTTCGGGTGCAATTTAATCAAGTTAATATATGTTGGCTCAATTTTTTTTTATCATTTTTATTGATTTAACTTTGGTTTATTTTTTCCAAGTTTTGTTTTAAATCTAGTTTTTTTATCATAATCTCATATCGCATTTGGGTGGATCTCCTCACAC